TTAGAAAATTTTCATTTTGTTAAGCTAAAATCATTCATTCCATTGCTCAAAAGATATTGAATGCCTAGCATGCTTCAGCCACACTGCTGGTGTTGATATAGTCCTCACGAGCCTGATAGTCTAATATAATTTTGGCCCATCAATCCAAATTCTACACATCAGCTATGGTTCTATATTTCAGAACTGCGGAGAGTAAATCAAATAGCATGGTGAGGTCTAGATGCACATAAACAAACAATAGCCTTCCAGAAACTATAATGGAAGAAGTTTCCATTCATCATAGTATGCCAAAATATAAAATAGCTTAAAAAGTACTTAACAAGAAATTTGTAGGTCTAATGTGAAGACACCTATAAAGATTTACTAAGGGCCATAAAAGATGGGTTGAATAAATGGAGAGACATAACATATTCCTCTGTGGGAAGACTCAACACTGTAAAAACACCACTCCTCGTCAAATTAATCTAAAAATTTAATACAACCCCAATCATAATCCTAAAGTTATCTTCTGCTTGAAACACAAGAAAGTTATTTTAAGTCATTCTGGAATATAAATGTGTGAGTATAGCAAAGAATCTCTTGAAATCGCTATTAAAAGGAGCCATGGAGTTGAAATGATGAAAACAGTAAAGACCAAGAGCTCAGTGGAACAACAGAAAGCCCAGAACATATATACACATATATGTACCTACATACATGGACATTATATTGTAAATTCATAGGTTAAGTTTGAAGGGTGTCAGGATGAGTGAATAACAATCTAGGAAGAGAATCAAATCCCTACTATATCTCGCACCTCACAGCAGGACAAATTCCAGATGGATTCCAATGCAAAAATAAAACCAGACGAATATTAAAAAAACGTATACATTATTATTAATAACAGCGGGCTTTATAAGTAGAAATCAATAAAATCTTGGGCTTTCGAAGGAAGAGATAAAATTAACCACATGAAACTTGAAAATGTCTATGCCAACATTTCCCTTACATAAACAAATAAAGCATAACATATTTAAAAGGTAAAGCCGTGAACTGGAAAATATTTATAGCCTACATGACAGTCAAAAGGTTAATATTTTTTAATAGATAAAGAGCTTCTAAAATTTAACGTGACAAAAATAAGCACTTCAATAGGAAAAAAGGACAAAGGTCATAAGCAGGTAGTTCACCAAGGGAGAAATACAAATTGCCAATGACATATAATTAAAATGATTTCCTCAGTAAAAATATAATGAATTTAAATCAGAATAAGATGGAACTTGATTATCAAATTAGCAGGGGTGAATATGAGTTCGGGTGATGAAGATGTGAGTGAATGAGCTCTCTCTTACATCGTTGGTGGAAGTATAAAGGAATGCAAATTTTCTGGAGGATAACTTGGATACATTTTTCCAAGACATTAAAATGTTAGCATTCTTATTAACCCAGGAATTTTATTTTTAGTCAGTTATATAAATAGAAGTTCATACGTCAAGCTGTAAGGATTACCATTGCAATCATATTAACAATGTTGAAAACTATAAACAATCAAAAGGTTGGTATAATAAATTATGGCAAGTTAATATGATATAGTACTAGGCAGCAATTAGAAATAATAATATAGAAGAATATTTAATGCCATGAAAAACATTCACTATAAATTGTTAAGTGAAAAAAAGCAAGTTACTTAAAAATAAAAATGTAATTACATATATGTATGCATGTATATATTTACTTATGTATATGTATTTGCATATAATTAGATCAATTCAGACAAATACTAACAATAGTTATTAATAGGCAGTGAGAATACAGGTAACTCTAATTTTATTTCCTTCTGTAAATCTACATTTTCCAAATTTTCTAAAATGTATATGCCTTACCTTGGTAGTAAGAAAAAATAAAAAATATATTCTTAAAACAGATATATTTTGTTTAAAGCATCAGAAATCCTTTTTTTTAAATGAAATCTTAGGTGAACCCAATCTATGGAACCAATAAGAGGGGTGAAGTAGGGGTGGTAGGCCTAGAGGCCTGCTCCCTTGATGGGCACCCTTGAGCCCTCACCTAGCAATGTCAGGGCTGGGGGAATTCTGCTGAGAACCCATTGTGTGTAAACACCATTTCTAGGTCCTACATGATTTGTTCTCAGTGAACCCATACACGGCCCCAGGATGGCTGGTTACCACTACAGTTACTCATAAACTATTTAATAGCTCATTTCATTTAGTTCACTACATTCATTGTCATATGTTCATTCGTTAAGCACTTTCTGAAAATTTTTCTAGATTTTAGCTTTGCGTTATATTAGTTTACTTGTGGATTAGAGATAAAAAGATTTTCTTACTGCATGAAATATCCTCAGAGAATATAATTTAATTCCACACCATCAGATTTTATTGAAGGTTGATATGAGAAATGATTACATGAAGAATGGATCTCCAACTTCCCTAAAACAAAACATTGTCTGTTATGATGCTCAAAGGCCCTTACATAAAGATGTGTGTGATAAATTCCCCTAAAGTTTTAGAAAAAAAGGTTGCCCATTTTTATAAATAATTGTGACTTCCTTTTATAGTACTGTATTATTCCTATATAACTCATCATGTTTCCCTTTTGGCTTTGGCTGCCAGAAAGCTCAGAGCTATACTTATTGCCAAACCACAGCAATGAACAGCTGCCTCATTTTGCAGAAAAACTCTATCCCAAAGCACTTGAGTGTCTAGCCTCAACTAAATGGTCCCATGATATGCATGGCTCAGGTTATGAGTTGTCTCAAAGCCAATTTAGAAATAGGCAAGGATTAAATAATAAACAAACACACACATAAGTAATCTGGACTTAGCAGGCTTGGTCTTCGGCAGTACAAAACGCTCACACCTGAAGTTTGATTTGTATCAAATGCCTTTTGGGCATGTTGCTTAATCTGGAGTACTGTTCTGGATGAGCGCTCCCCTGGGTGCAGACGTGGACATTTGGGTCTTTCTGCTACCAAGGCCCACACATGCATCCACCCACCCCATGATGCTGGCTCCTTAGAAGTGATCTGCATGGTATCCAATAAGGATATCAGGTCAAAAGCATAGCAAAAGCGCAAGGCACAGATAAACTAAGAGTTTATACGTGGACCATAACCCTAAAAACATTTAAGAAAACAAGATATTGCTGAATTGGATCAGGAAATAGACAATCTTCACAAACAGAAACAATCTTAAGCATTGGGATATGTGCGCATAAGTGTGTGTGTGTGTGTGTGTGTGTGTGTTTATTACAATGATCAACAGTAGACTAAAAAATATCAGGTGAGTTAAGGTACTTCTTTACCTTTCCAGAAGGTCAAATATGTATTCTTATTGTTAACATTACTCACATCATTTTACAATATGGTAAGTGCTGAAAAGGTCATGGAATGTGGAGGAAAGGGAACCACAATTTTCTGAATGATGTATGTAAATTGTTTCCTCCATTATTTCATTTAAGAGACACCAGTATCCTTTTCCTTTGTAATGCATAAGCTCTTTAGCAACCTTTCTAATAACACGGTAAGGCTCTAATATAATGGATGTTGTGTTAGAATGGTTTGGAATGATACTGGGCCTGGTAGGGTGGACTCTGGTAATGCAGTCTTGATTATAGTGTCATAATAACTGGCAGGTGGCTGTCTGTATCAGCAACAGACACCCTCAAAGCCTGTGGAAATAGCTTGGTTCCCATGGCTATGAAGTAAGGTGGGTCAGCTGCCCAGAGCAACAGATTATCATTACAAAAAAGATTTGCCATGGCTTTCACAGGAGAGGCCAAACCAGCCTAGAAGCAAATGGACGAGGCAGGCTTCTGGGGCCCCAAATATCTTCCTACTCCTGGGGGCCTGCCTCATATTCTATAGATAGAATTTCATTCAAGGTAGCAATGCTTGGTACCCATGAGCCCAGGCTCTAGAATCAGATCTCCTTATTTGAAATCCCAGCTCCACCACTTACTGTTGGCTGAGTAAACCGGGCATAGTCCCTAACTTTGGGTCATTCTGTAAATGAATGAGAAAATCCATGAAAGGCAGTTAGCCAGCACCTGGCTCATGGTATGCTTTCACTATATATCAACTTTTATTATTATTTACACTTAAAGTACCACCTTTTAAAATGCAAGTACCCAGGGAGGCATACCTTATTCCCAGTTAGTACTTCGGAGGGGGGCGGGGGAATCGCACTTGAAAGTCAATTAAGATGTAGTGAGCAGCAAGGGATCCAGGACTGAAACCCAGGAGAAGCAAGGAACTAAGCCAAAGGAGAGAAACAGCTTTGAAATTTTGCTCAGAGCCACAGTGATTCTTCTACATGGAAAAGTACCCAATCGTTGCAGCTAGCCAAGCGCAAACCCTCGCTCTTGCAGAAAGGCAATCTAATTGCCGAATCCAGATACAGGATGCGTGGCACCTGGGGCCTTAGGGACTGCCTCTCTATCAACTGCTCCATCTCAGAGGACTCTACATACAGACTTTCTACAGTAAGAGACATTAATTAAACCGTGAAGCCACCAAGTTGGCGCCTTGTTTTCTGGCCTGCCATGGAGTGTATGCAAAGATTTTTAAACACGGCCCGTGTGTGGAGATGAGCACACCAGGAGAGGCTGCCTTCGTGGGCGTTGCTGTCAACAGCCAATGGAAAGTCACCACCCTTTCCCACAAAGCGGCTGTGCATCCCTTCACACTCTGAGCAGAGACTCTTATTTGTAAAGTTATCCATCACCTCAGTATACCAGTCATTCATAGATTTCAACATCCCCTTCCTGACCAGCAAGGAGAGGAGAGGAAACGGCAGTTTGGAGACCTCCAGTTGAGCTGTTGGATAAATGGATATTTTTTCTTCTCCCCAGGGTGCCCAGGAGAGGCTGATTCTGACACAGACCTATAGAAAAGGGCCTCCATTTCACCTCCGGCTGGGTCAGGGAGGGGGGCATGGGGAGAGGTGGGGGGAACACATGTGTTCACACATCCAGTTTGCTGCGCTGGACGAAACACTGACCTGTTAGGCCAGCGGCCTCGGCAGACAGGAAGGCGCTCCAAGACAGGAGGAAAAACAGGCCCGTTTCCAGCATAGGGAACTCACACAGTTTGGTAAATTTGGTCAAGTGACAAAGATGCGTTAAGGGAAATAACAACTGCTTTTATGAATAAATCTCCTTTTTGGCTGTGAAAAAATCTGGTTGTGTTTTAGATGAGAGAACTAATTTTCGGAGCTGGCTGTAACTGACTGAGGCTTGACTTTGAAGGCCAGCAGGAATCATGCTTCATTGCGGGCTGAACACTCCTATAAAAATGCAAACTGGTGTTCAGATAAAAAAGATGTCTTACTAAGAGGATAAAATCAGCTCAGTGTAGACACAAAACTTCTTAAATTTGGACTCAGCCCTTGGGGTGTGCCCCTCAGAATACTGGCAGATCTGGGAAAACAAAGCCAAGGGGAGTGAGGCTGGGTGAGATGCTGCCAGCGTGTCAACACTGAAGGAGGCCACTGCTCCCCAGGGAGTGCTGGTCTGTGGACAGATCACCTTGAAGAGTCTTCTCTCTTGGGGATAGAAATTGAATCAGGAGGAGCATTTATGTTCAGTGAGAGGGAAGCTGCCCGGACTCTCTTTGTAAAAGTAGGATGGAGGAAAACGGGTGTTGCTTCTAGGTCAAGCAAGATGCCCTTTGGCGGGCAGTGGTTCATTTTGGCCAGGATGACACTTGGTCAATAGTCTATAAGTTGCAAATAGAACAAAGGCACAGTGATCTGAGTCAGGCAGAGAATGGGCTATGGGGAGACGATTGGGAGTTAGTGATGGATGGGAAAGGGCTACCTTGTAATTGTGTCCACCACTAGGCGGAAAATGCCCTGACAGATAAAGAGATGTTAATGCTGTTGCATTTTTATGTTTCTACAACAAAGTGTAAGGAAGATTCCATATTAATAGATGTTTGGCAGCAGGGCAAGGAAGCAAAAAGTATGACCTCTGCGTTAGTAGATCTGGGTTTGAGTCTTGGCTCTGCTAGTCACTGGCTGTGTGATTTCTGAGCAGTATGTTAACCTCTGTGAGCCTTATTTGTATCCTGGGTGAACTGGCAATGAGAGTAATACCTACTCATACAATGTGCAGAGTAACATGCAATGAAGATATTAAAAATGTTTTGTAAAGTCTTAGAAAGCACAAAATACTAAGGATCATGTCATGGTTGGGAGTGTGGTCTCTGGAAGGCAACTCTACCTGGGCCCATATTCATGGTATCAGCTTAGACGGGTCCGTGGGCCACTCTGCGCTTTGGTTTCCATGTCTGAAAATGGGCATAATAGTGCAACCTACCTCCTAGGTCTATAAACCACTTACAATATGTTAAGCACTCAGAAGAGTGCCTGGTATATAACAAAGGATGTGTAAGTTTTTCAATTAGTGTGATTTAAATAAATTTGTTTTGTAAAACATCTTTTCTGGAAAGAGGTTCAGTAAGGGTCTGGAAGCAATTCTTTATCTGGAGGAAAACATGGGCTGCCCTTTGACCCTTTTCCAATGTCCCCTCTTCTTACTTGGAGGGAAGGCTTTGTTTCTAATGGGGTTTGTTCCTCTGAATTCCCTCTTCTAGTTTGTTGTAAAGAGAAGGTTCAGGCCGATCTGAGTAACAGAATACCAACTGGGAGTAAAGTGTTCTTCTCTTTCCATGGCCTCCAGAAAGTTGTTCAGTTCTGAGTCAAGCCCTAAGCTTGTCCGGAACCCAGGGGCCCACAATCTGAGGAGCCTCTGCCTCATTGTGGACAAGGCATCCAGGTGGTTATGGTGGAGGAATGGACTGTGCCCCTGTCTCCTTCACAGCCTGAGTCTGTGACCCAAGGCCATCAGGTGTTGCCACTATTACTGAGCCCCTGTCTCTTCCTTTTCTCCACCCCTTTCCCCAGATCTGATCCAATATCAGAGCAGACTTCCAACCTCCAGGAATTTTTACCTTCCTTATCAATTTGTTTACTTATGTGTCCATACATTCCTTGCACACTGGGCAGAAAAAAGTTCCAATCTCAGCCCTTCCACCTCGTGCCGTCCCTGGGACCAAAGGCCTGGTTTTAAACCCCTGCCCTGAAATGTCCTAGCTGTGTGGACTTAGACAAGTTGCCTAACCTTCTACGTCAGTTTCTTCAGCTGAAAATTGGGGGAATAACAGTATCTCCCTGCCAGGGTTCTTATAAAAACTATCTGAGATAATCTATGCAAAATACGAAGGACAATGGCTGGCACGTGGTACAGTTCTGAACATATGTAAGATGGCATAATTAATATCATGTCCATTATTACTGATATGTGACTCAGAGTGAGCTACTTAACCTTCTTGAGCCTCGATTTCCTCCTGTGTAACCCGGTGTCTTACAGGGTTAATTCGAATAAGAAGATATATATAAAGGCCCATGCTAGACATTCACTAAATGTTGTGATCATTACTATTACTCTACTCCATACAACATGTGACCTCCATCGTCATTCCACTTAATAATTAAGAGGCAACAGGGAGTAGTGATCAAGAGCATGGTCTGTCTCTCGGTTTCACTCCTTGGGTTTGATCTTGGCTCTACTTCCAAGCTGTATGACCTTGGGCAATAGCTTACCCTTTCTAAGCTCCAGTGTCCAGTAAAAAAAGATATGACCATTGTGAAGGTTAAATGAGTTATTGCATGTAAAACAAGTAGTAGGGGGCCTGACATGTCTCCAGTACTGGGTAGATTGTTAATCATTATTTTTAGTTGGAAGTCAGCCCTATCTTTTTCGACTTACTTTTGTCAATGGAGTTGACATTCTCCAGGGTTTCCAGGACATGACTTTGGGGTGGTCTTTTGATTCTCTCCTCTTCCTTATCTCTTAGTACCAACCAATCACTAAGTCCTAGAGATTCTTCTAAACATTGGCCTCCTTCCCGATTTACCCCCCCACAGGTTATCATCACAGTTTTCCTTGATCTTAATCTTCCTTCTCTCATTCACCCTACATACCAGTTCCTTATTTATGTTTTAAAAACAGGACTTTCATTGTGTCCCTCTCTGTGGACTATAGAAAGACGCCCAGGCTCCTTTGAATAACACTCCAAGATACTCCACAAGCTGACTCCATCCCACCTGTGTCCCCTCATCTTCCACCGCTCACCAGCCTGAGCCCTCAGGTCCTTTCAGGCACAACTGCCATGTGCCACGGCAGTGCCCCCTCCGCCACACCTTCATGAATGCTGGTCTTCTCCTGAATCTCTTATCATGTGGCTTTTGCCTGTATCCTACCCATCTTTCAGGTCAAGCCCAGGTCCTACTCTGCATGTAAATACTGCTTTTCAGATGATTTTCCAGAATCATAAGATCGGCCAAGAGTCTATTGGACTATCCCAGACACAGTGGCCTCACCATCATTTGAACTTTTATAATCTTACTAAGGTGGCTGCAGCTTTAGCGCTCACTTTCCGTCCAACTCTTACTGTAGAGCTTGTCTTCCCAAGTTCGTCATTAGTTGAAGGCAGAGCCCATGTTTTATTCATCTTCTGACTTATCTTAGAAAACTTTAGTAGAACCTAGCCTTTTAGCAGGTGTTCAGTGAACTGTTAGGCTAGTCCTCATGAAAAGAGACCCCAACATTTTGCTTTCCTTGCCTTGATCCCTGACCCTTCTTGCATCTTTCTCCTTTCTTACTTCTCTTTCCCCCCCAAGGTCTCTGGTCCTTTGTTCTGCCTCTTCTCTGTAGCCTCAGTTAACACTTGACATTAGCCTTCTGGCTTTCCTCTTCAAACCTGACTTATCTTTGCCCCCATGCAACTGCCATGAGTGAAGAGCTCACCAGACCAGCTTCTTTCCCCGGCTCAAATCCTCTAGGACCTTTACCCATCCTCCCACGTCTCTGCTGAAGAAGAGGGAGTAAGATGACACAATTGCCTGGATATGGCAAACATCATTTCTGCTTGGCTTGCTGTTCCCCTTCCATAAAAGAGCCATGGATGCTCGTTTAAGCTCGCAGTCATCTTTGGCTTGGTCGACCCTGTGAACTAGTGCTTGATACGAGTGTGAAAAGGAGGCAGAGAGCACTTAGTTTATCACTCCCAGTCAATCATGCTTTATTCTTGACCTTAGGTCTTCAGTTCTTCCTCTTGACCTTGATCTATCCAAGCCTGATACCCCCTGGTCACCTATATTCCTAGGTGGGAATTTTTTTAAGACTGTTGCTATCCTAGGATCAGACAGTATGAGCAGTGCTAGAACTGGCCTTGGACAGGAAAAGAGCCTGGGCCCCTCTTCCACTGGTACCGACCTATGCTTCGAGGGGTGGCTCGGAGTCAAGATGGCTCCAGTGGTGCCGTACTGCACTTGAACGAGACTATCTAACCATTTCCTGGCCTGGAATTTGTCAGTCCTCGGAAACATTCCGGGGAAGTTGACTGCTCTGAACAGTCCCCAGCTTTCCACACAGGACAAAGGATATCAGTGCCGTGACAACAGCATACGCAGACCCCATTGCAAATGAGCCGGCGAAGATCCCCAGGAAATTCCCCACGGACTGGAAGAATGCTGCAGCATCAAATGCATTCGGATTCTCCTTGGGACTGTAAATGGATATAGAACTGAAAAGAGAAGAGGGTGAAGGTTAGTCAGCGACTCCCATCTCATGGCCCAAACACCAGAAGTCAGAATTTAGCACCCACTTTTGGGAAGGGCACGTTTTCCTATGAGGTTAGGTGCTGGTTGGAAGCTTTCAGGGGAAACGGATGAGGACAGAGAGAGGTGGAGAAGGCAGAAAGCTTTCCGATTCCTTACAACCCAATCCCATGGTATCTATATATTGCTGCCCGTCAGTAAACATTTTTATATAGGAAGGGTCGTAAGGAATATTATTTCTGAGCAAACTAGGCATTAAAACATGGTAGGCGTATAAGGAATCTGCTGAGGAGATAGATAACTGTGAATTATTTAGTGGCCATATGTCTTCAGTGCTGTTAAATATTCACAAATGTTCCTGATAAAAAGTGCACTTTTATGGCCTGTGCACAAATGGGCGATACAAATCACAGCATGCACAAAATATTCTGCTGTGATCTTGTCATAAACCACAAAACATTGCTCCTCTCCAGTGTAACCCTTCAGAAACAGAGCCCAGAGGACGTTCAGAGCGTCACAGTATTAACCCCTGGGGAGAGACAAACCCCTCACTTTCCCACTGAAACAAATGACAGCAGCTGCCTAAGGTCACCTTTTATACCCCAATTCCGACGGCCGCCAACAGATTTATATCCACAGAGAAAAATCAATCCACCAATAGGCAGTCTGCTCACTTAAATAGTTTTGAGGATGTCATATTTGCTATTTTCTTTTTGTAACCAGGGCCTCAAATCCCACAGTGTTAATGTAAAGGACAAGGTGTGTCCTATTTTAGGAAACATGAGCTCCGTATTGTAGCATCAAAATGAACAGATGTGCTAGAACCAGTAGCTTTCGGGAGACTAACGAAGTAACTTTTCAGATTTTTTTGTTTTTTGCAGTTTTTATTTTAATACAAGGTCTTTAAAGCTAATCAGACAAAATCAATAGTTTCTCAGCGGCTGCTGGGAGGGGCCTTGTCGCTCTTAGAGAGCAAACAGTACACCAGACACACTGACTTGAGATTAGATAGGATTTTACAGAGATGTAACTGAATCTCTTGTGACTTGGATGATGAGAGTACGTTAACTCTCTGACCTGACTTTTTGTGTCTAAAGACTAGTTAAGAGAGAACAGGGGGAGTGGGTTCCAATTCTCCTCCAGGAAAACGTGTGGCATAAAAAAGGTAGTTTTAAATGTTTCTAGTTTTTCCCTGGATGTCTTTAAACCCCCAAAGTAGGTCAAACACTTCTGCTTTTTTTTTTTTGAATTTTATTTATTTTTTTATACAGCAGGTTCTTATTAGTTACCCATTTTATACATATTAGTGTATATATGTCAATCCCAATCTCCCAATTCATCACACCACCACTTTCGCCCCTTGGTGTCCATACGTTTGTTCTCTACATCTGTGTCTCTATTTCTGCCCTGCAAACCGGTTCATCTGTACCATTTTTCTAGGTTCCACATATATGCGTTAATATACGATATTTGTTTTTCTCTTTCTGACTTATTTCACTCTGTATGACAGTCTCTAGATCCATCCACATCTCTACAAATGACCCAATTTCGTTCCTTTTTATGGCTGAGTAATATTCCACTGTATATGTGGACCACATCTTCTTTATCCATTTATCTGTCGATGGGCATTTAGGTTTCTTCCATGACCCGGCTATTGTAAGTAGTGCTGCAATGAACATTGGGGTGCATGTGTCTTTTTGAATTATGGTTTTCTCTGGGTATATGCCCAGTAGTGGGATTGCTGGGTCATATGGTGATTCTATGTTTAGTTTTTTAAGGAACCTCCATACTGTTCTCCACAGTGGCTGTATCAATTTACATTCCCACCAACAGTGCAAGAGGGTTCCCTTTTCTCCACACCCTCTCCAGCATTTGTTGTTTGTAGATTTTCTGATGATGCCCATTCTAATTGGTGTGAGGTGATACCTCATTTTAGTTTTGATTTGCATTTCTCTAATAATTAGTGATGTTGAGCAGCTTTCCATGTGCTTCTTGGCCATCTGTATGTCTTCTTTGGAGAAATGTCTATTTAGGTCTTCTGCCCATTTTTTGATTAGGTTGTTTCAAACACTTCTGCTTTGATCATGTAATTGGATAAGGAAGATGAATGTGGATCTCAAATGGAGCCCTCTTATGTATATGAGAAAGGGATTGCCTTTGAAGTGTTCTTCTTTTTGTAACGTGTTGTGCTTTGCAGAAAAAAAAGGAAAAGCAAACCCATATTTGGGTCCTTTGTAGCTGACAGTCCTGGGAAAGGGTGTAAAACCCCATGGCCATTCGGAAACTTGGTGCCCATGGCTGCGTGTGTAAAAAAAGCAGTAGTGATGAGGAAACATTCCAGTTGCTATCTGTCTTTCAAACAAAGGTTTTTGCACAGTAACACAGTTTTGTAAATAATTCTGTTAATTCCTAAGGCTGCTCCCAGCAGATCTGATCCTTAGAACAGGCAGCTCTTCAACCCCATCTTCACCTTTGCACTCGCTGGAAGTGTTTTCTCTGTCCCGATGCTTCCCTAGCTTGAAGCACCACCATCACTTCTTTTGGCCATATTCCGTATCATTACTTATGTAATGTTTGTTCTTAAATCAACTCATTTTTATTCAAATGCAAAAGCTTTTATTAAATAATATTTACGAAATCATAGTTTTGAGTTGCTTCATATATTGCTTTTTAATACACATGAGATTATGTAATTATTAAATTTGAAAAACAAAGTTCCCCTTTGTGTCACCTAAAATCATCTGGGTATCTCCACTCGTTCATAGTCTGCATTTTGGGAGATGCTGTTTTCTTCCTGGGCTCTGATCCCCACCCAAAAGCGTGCAGCCAAATTTCATACCTTCCCTGTGAGATCTGATTGAACTGAAGGGAAGAGCTTACTTAATTCTCCTTGACCTATGGAGACTCGTTCATTGATTTGCCAACCCTAAAGCACTTCAGGATGTTAGTCGAGATGCACGGGGTACCTGCTATGTACCAGGTGATGGATTCGATGCAGGGAGTGGCGGGCAGGCAGGGAAGGGCATGGAAAGGAGAAGCAGAACTTGAGTCAACAAACATTTTACTGACCATATGCAAGGCATAGGCGGAGACGCCTAAGACAGAGAAGACAGCTAGCTCATGTCAGTCACAGCGCTGAGCGTGATTGTGAGAGATGTGCAACATTTAATGGGGCAAATGAGGAAAGGGGCACTAGTTTAGAATAGAGGGGATGGCATTTGATCAAGTCAGCAGTCAGTGATGGGCAGCAGGCATTCCAGGTAGTGGAAGGAGTGGAAGCAAAGGCAAGGAGGCAGGAGAGTTGAGGGCACTTCAACGTGGAACTATATAGTGATGGCTGGAGCCTGGCAGCATATATGTGGGCACTGGCGGAGGGGTAAAGGCAGGTAGCTGGCATCACTCAGAGCTTTAAATTCCACCTTAAGAATATACAAAAGCCCTCACATTTATGTAATATTTAGTCCTCTTATGCCTGCATTATAACTGTATTTGATCCTATAACATCTCTGCCAGGTAATTAGGGCAGGTATATGGTTATCCGTCTTTTTCTTTCTTTTCTCGCCCCTCCTTTTTAAAAATAAAATACAGAAACGAAGAGTCAGAGGAATGAAGATCATATAGCTACTAAGTTCAAAATGTAGATTTCTTGTTTCTCCCTTGAAAAAGTGTTCTTGTTGGGAGGCAAACATGGACCCACATCAGGACCGTTGAGTGAGTGTGGTTCTGATTCTAAGGGCAATAGGAGTTCAGGCACCAGAACCTTGGATTCCATGTGTGGATGGAACACGAGAAGCACTCTCCCATGTGCCAGGAGAGTGTGGAGCACCTTGCATGGGGCGACAGAGCCCTCCTCTCCCATCCCACTAGCAGGTGAGACGCAGGGCTCCTCCTGGAAACCTGCTTTCGTGCCTGCCTTCTGCTCCTGGACTTCAGCTTTGCTAGGCCTGGCCTGGGTCTTTGTCCTGCTTCTATGCCCAGGACACAGCCTGATGCCCGGCCCGTGGCAGGCTATATAAAGGTTGAGGGAACGAGGGCAGGCTGACTGGAAAGCAGGAAGGAAATAAGGAAGAAATGCAGGAGGAGAAGAGGCTTGCAAAAGCTAGTCATCTCTCAAATGGATCATCATCTACAAGAGTTTTTATTAGGCATTGACTATATGTAGTCGTGTTGTGGGTACTTTTAGGGTTATCAATGCAAGCTTGAAGTTAACACTTGAGACTCTTAGCTTGAGCCTCAAAGATCTCATCCTTATTGGCTGTATGGCCTTGGTTAAGTTACTCCATCACTCAGGCTCGGTTTCAAAGTCTATAGAATGGCCATAACATTACGTATCCCACAGAAATGTGTGAGAATATGAGGTACATTTAAAAACCTATAAAAAAAAATAGAGGGACTTCCCTGGCAGTCCAGTGTTTAAGACTCCATGCTTCCATTGCAGGGGGCACGGTTTCGATCCCTGGTTGGGGAACTAAGATCCAGCATGCCTCAGGACGTGGCCAAAAAAAAAAACACATTAAGATTAAAAAAAACCCACAAAGCCTATATATTTATCTTATAGGTTGTAGGGCCATTCATTGAGTGCTGATTATGTGCACAAAAAATAGGCTCTCAATGAATGTTGGCCATCATCACCATCACTGCCATGATCATCAGCATTCTGCTAAGAACTTCCACAGGCTCACAATGAAAGAGGGCAGAGCACCGTGGCTGAACAAGGCCTTGGTTCCAACTACGGGCCGATGGGGTGTGGGTCCCCTCCCAGCACACTGTGCTTCTAGGTTGCTGCAGAGGGAAAAGTCACTTTTGCATGGGAACATCAGGGTCTCCAGGGAGGAAACGGCCATAGAAGTGACGCCAGTAGGTTGTCACGTTTTGCGCGGAGCTCTTGGGTCCGTGGATTAAGGAGGAAAGGGGCGTCCTCAGCAGCCTGGACAGGGATGTGCTCCAGGACAAGAACAGGCCAGGA